AGAGAGAGAAAGAGAGAGAGAGAGAGAGAGAGCAGGTACGAGGACGAGTTTATCTAGCGTTCGCCGATCGAAGAGCGCGGGATCGCTTGATTCGCCCTCCACGCCCATTGACATCAATTTAAAATTAAACCGACACGCCGGGCGGCTGGCTTCGCGCGAGCTGCTCACCGGCAGCGCGATATCCTCCACCGTTCGATACACGCCGCAATATATCTTCAGGTCTGTTCCTTTTCACGCTGGTCTACACTTGTGTAACTTAAAAAACAAACGTACAGTCAAGATCTGTTGGAAAATGGAGGAGAGCAGAGTACTGGCGCAAGCTGCCGCAGAGGCTACTACAAAAGAGAGCAGACTAGCCGCCACGAAAGCGTAGGATTCCAACGCGCGAACTCCGATAAAAGTGGAAAAACGCGATTTTCACGAGCGTGCCGCTTCTCACCGAGAGATACGCGGCCGAGCAGTTAGTTACGCTCGATGTACGTTTCGCAGCAGCGTTCAATGGAAGCGCCGGGAATTGGGTCACCGGCGGCAGATAGGTCGTCTTGACAGGTGAACAAAACCACTGGCGGGGAACGGAGGGATGGCCGCGGGTGGGCGAGGAGAGGGAAGGAGAGGGGAGGGGCACACCGCGGCGGAAATTAAAGTTGACCGATACGAAACGTCGACGGCGATGACGGGGGCAGGTCGGCGAGCCGCGCCGAGCCGCCGGCCGATCGGAAGACGCGAGAGACGAGGTCGAGGGACTGACGACGACGCCCTGAGCGCCAATATTCGCGAGGGAGGCCGCTCGGAGCGATAACATAAGAGCGCGGGTGCGGCATCGGCAGAGATAAGGGGCATTGAGAGCCACGACGACGTCGGCGTGAGTCGAGCACGGCGAATATTCCGACTCGCAGAAAGAGCAGGCGGCCGCCGACAACGGCAGCGGCGCCAATCGGCGGCGGCAATCGATGCCGGCGGAGCCCCGACGCGGATCTCGGCGAGGCGACACGACGACGCCGCCGCGCGGCGTCGCGACGCGGACCCGCGTTATTGACGTCGCGAAAGACGCCAGGGACGATGCACCGGCATCGATAACGGCACCGCGGCCGGAGCGGACCGTCGCCGAGCACTGGAAGAGGGAAGCTAAGGCGGCGCACACGCCATTTTTAACCACGACACATATCCACCCGTCACGGTGGCGGCAGCGGCGACGGGGCGATCTCGCGTTCTTCGACTCGCAGGTTTTCACTTGAGAACGACACTTGGCGGGTACTTACCCTCACGTAAGGACACCCCGCGGCTCACCGTCCTGCCTCGGCAGCTCGCATAAAAGTCCCTCGCTCCCGGTATACACCAAAAACCCACCAATAACGATCCAACACCGAGTCCGACCGTCCGTCCACACACTCGACCGGCGCGCAACCGACTGAGCGCGCACGGCGCCGACCTACGCCGTCGCGGCTTAGTCCCTTCTGCGGAGAGCGCCGCCGCGGCGAGCCGACGCGGAAAATCGGGGAAATGCGGCGGGCGCGTGCGACGATTTCGCTCTGGATCCACGGGACGACCTGGGGTAATCTGGGAGACCCGCGCTGGGAAAATAGCCCGATGCATCTACTGATGCAGCACGGCGTATAAGCGAGATCCTCGGCTCTCTGGGCTTCGTGTGTGGAAGGTGCCGAACGGCTCTGATTCCGAATGTGATGTTCAGTAGAGGCCGACAAATTTTGCGCTATGAGCACTGTGTATGCATACTGTGATTCGGGATTCTGATTGTTTTGACTTCTACTCTGATACAATCGCTGTAAAGAAAAGCCCTTCGGAAGAATCGTAATGATACTTAATTTCGTAATGAAGACAGTGTTACTTTATTATACGCGTATTTATGCGTGTATTTATACCCATAAGGTGTTATGTGCAATTAACATATACTTAATTTGAAGGAGCAAACGCGGTGCAAGACCACATCTCCTTCAAACAACTGCATTCTCATCTGTACTGTATTCGCCTTACTCCAGTCGCGCGGCGTAGGAATACAAGATAGACGCTTGTGACATCATCAGTCCTGTTTACCCATATTCTGGACCGGGGCACGCCCCATCCTTCGTGCGGCTCGTTACCACCTGCGATTTTTTCCTTCGTTATCGCGCCGGTCGCGTAACAGCCGATACTCACCGTGGTCGTGCGTACACGTGCGTGATACGGTGCGAAGGTCCGCTGCGTAACTATGTAAAGGTCGCGTTCCAATTTCGCGTACTTCGATTTCGAATGTCACGCGCGCGATGACGCAACCAATCGCGCATCGCCAACGACAATAGATTTGTATAGAGTAGACACCAAGGGACGGCGTTGGGGACTACGCTAGGGAACAACGTGCGATCCGCGTCGCCAATCAGACTCTCGTTCGTCTGGGAACAAAATCCATAACGAGAGCCGATTGGCTGTCGCGTCCTGGGCATCAGTCATGAATCTCTTTTCACGTGAACTCGATTGTACTTATTAGAGCCTCCGTACAAAACATCCGTAACATGTTAAGTTTACGGATTTCTTTGTGCGTTGACTTTTACGTACTTTTAAGTTTAATTTTACGTACAAGTATGGCCATTGCATTGTCAATACTTAACGTAACGTAACATGTTACAGATGTGTTTGAAAAATAAACGTTTTTTTTTCATATATTCTCAAGTCAGATCATTTCTCACGAGTTTTCAAGCTAAGGAACAAAATTCATAGTAGATTCTTCTAAATGCAGAAAACATCTGCTAGTATAATGAACATAGCTAATTAAACTATATTCAAGAAGTCGATTATGAATCTTATTCTCTAGTGACTTATGAAAAATAAAAATGTTATAATTTGAAAATATTTGAAAATGTTAACTTTTCAAGAGTTCGCGCTAGAGAAAAGACTGCGTTCATTTTGGCGCTCATAGCGCGTGCAAGCATCATTTGTTTTTGTTTAGTATTTGATAGAAACAAGAATAAAATAATGCTCAGAACGTTGTAAGCGCCAAAACGAACACAGCCAAAAATACATGATCATCTCCCATGTATCTCAAAAAATATAATAAAATGTAACGGTTAAATTCATGGAATTGTTGAATTTAGATATTTTTTCCTAAAAAATATAGAAATATGAAATTTACCTGTGAAAACTTAAAAATTACAGAAGCAAAACTTCGAAGAATTTAAAAACAGGTGATAGGCGTTTATAAAGTTCATAACTTATGTACATCTGTTACTTCGCCTACGGTGAATGAAATACACATAGAGTGCAACGTAAAATATAAATAAACAATCTTTGTGTTGTTTCCGTGGAATGCTTGTACTGTCTGTTTATTTGAGGAGGTAGACGACGTCCTCGATAATTTTATTAAGTTCCTGATTTTGCCAGTCAAGGGCGATGTTATCGAGATGATTGTCGAAATCAACCAGATTCCTATACTGCTCTTCTTTCAGTAACGAATACATTATGTCTGTGTACACGACGTCTCCTTCATAAATTATACTGTAACAAAATGGATATCATGTATAGTCTCTAAAAGTGAGAGATTCCATGAATATTTCTAATATTTACTTCTAAGGTAAGAATCTTTAGAATTCCTAAGGTAAAAATCTAAGAAATTCTAAAATAGAATTCTTAGAAATCATAGAATCTTTAGAATTATATAATTAATAATAAAATTCCAATAATCCTACAATTCTTTTTCTTAAAATAGAATCTTCTCCAGAATAGAATCTATTCCTAAGATCTTGAAGATATAATTACTTTGCCTTATCCTTTGGTTTCCACTTGCCATCTACAGACTGTGAAATTCTCAACGGACTAGATTGCATATTTAGGGTGATTTCTCGATTATCCACCTAACAACAAGAAATGCTTAGTTTATAGGAATAGATGCAAGATATATAGACATAACAATTAATAAAACTCACCACAACGAGTAGTGCGTTATTAAAGTTCTCCGCAATCTTATCTGCTATTCTGTGAGCTGGTCTGTCTGTACTGTATACAAAATAAGAAGGTGAATTAATGTTAATGTAACATAGATTGGAGAATACTAATAGTTAATACCTTAAATCGTTTATGTTCTCGTTGGCTAGGTAATAACCTGCTAGTATAAGGCCTTTGCTTGTAACTAACTGGTCCACCTGTAACATCACGCAAAATCAAGATAAAAATATCGTAATATTGTTATTGCCACTGTTACTGTCACATTTTGAAACATGTACTTGAGACCTTATTAAAATATTCATGTTATAGGTTAGGACATCTGCACGTTCACGTCGCACATAGAGTTTTTACTTCAGACGTAACAAATCGCACGCACTTTAGGCAACACGGTGATTTGTAAATGTTAATGTGATACTGCACTAGAAGAATACAATGCTCTTCAAATATTTACCAAGGTAAGCGCTATTTCCGCCATTGGGGAAACATGTAGACATATGTGGAATAAAGGTACCGCGTCCTCGATGTACAGATCCGTTCTGCCGTCCTTAATCTTTTGTTTGCCGAGCAATAAGCCATTTATTGCACAATGTGGATATTTCGCTGCGTGTAAAATAATTTTGCAGTACGCGCGAGGAGAAAAGAAAACATTCGCCATTGTCAAATGTGCACTGTAAACGCAAGCAGACGCGAAAAGACAGCACAGGTCAGTGTTGCCAACAACGTAACTCTTAAATTGGAGCACGTGAGATTCCTCCCGTAGTGAGACTCTAAAAACACATAGTCTGTTCTTTTTAGATGAACTGGTGCAGACTAGTGCAATAAGTTAGAATGGAATAAAATATATTTGTCTTACTCTAACTTATTGCATCAGTATATACCAGTTCAGAAAGTTCAGCTAAAAAGAACAGATCTACGGTCTTCTCACCACAGATGTCTATATTAAACTAGATTGTTAACAAAAGCTTCGAACGTGTGTCGCGTAAAGTTTCCGGTTGCATGCGAGAAAATAGCGGCGGTCCTGTGTGTGTGACGTTATGTGTGTGACGTGTCACTTGTGTGAATACTTACAACGTACAATATGAGTCAGCGTGGCCATTAAATTATTGTCGTAAAACCAAAAATGTCAGCATTTTATCGCATAAAAAAATGTCGTAACAAAAAAATAGATAATATTGGACGTTATTTGCTCTGCTCATTTTCAACAAAAGAATTTTATGACTAAACGTAGTGAAAATATGTGGCGGTAGCGGCCATTTTCTCACATGCACCGGAAACTCTATCGAACACAAACCGTTACATGCTTTTAGATAGCCTGTTAACAATCTAATTTAGTATAGATATTTGTGCTTCTCACTGATATCAGAGAGAAACATAAGAGCGGCCACCAGCCTCAATGACTAGAGCTAGACGCATTTTCGAGACGCTATTTAAAAAAGTGCGCCTTTACTACGTTCATTTTCGCGGTAGTAATGATAAAATGCGCCTGGTTCATGCCTTTTGTACTTCCGTACAATGATAGTAAGTTAGAAAAGGACAGATGTCAAATTGCTCTATTCTTGTTTTACCACTAATGAACGGACAGCGCGACATAGAAATATATTCTATAATTTTTAACGACATCGTTATGTATCTTTGCGCAGATTTTTTGTACTATGAAATAACTGCGCAGCGATACATAACGATTAATAATTAAACGTTATAGAATAAGCCCGATAGGTCCGAAGCGAGCTAGCGACGATATTATCGCAAAACTAGATCATTTCTCATCATTCTCGTTTTTCTTGCGCTGCGTTCTCTGTAATTTTGCAAGAAAAAAAGATTTGGAAACTGGACAATATGAAACAATAAATAAATATACAAGCTTAAACATGCCTCTCATATTTTTTGCTTATTTCTCGGCAACCACAAAAGATATCGATGTGATTAAAAAAAAACAAAGTTCTCCACAATTTATCCTGTTGGAATTCAGAATTTACAATAATACTAATACTATGATAATACTATTAATAACAGTTTGTTAAATAAACCGTGGAAGCTAGAATTGGACTTTATCGATCTGGCGTATCGTTTCTCAATAAGCGTAAATCGTCATTGTCAGTTGTCAGTTCTTTCAATAACTATCAATCACGATTCACGCTTACTAAGAAACGATGCGCCAGATCGAAAAAATCAAATTCTCTAGATACTAGAAGTGTAAAGGCATTTATGAATCCTAGTACTGAATTTATGTATATATAGATATATATTAATATTTAACAAGAGATATATCAAAAGATGGAACATCTCTTGATGTATCATCAAGAAATAATTTGACAAGAAGGAAGCCTTCCTTAAGCAAGCTAGCCGAGTCGAAATTTCAATTTAATTGTTATGCAAGAATGATCCAATTAAAAAAATTATAAGTTCTTATCAATACTCCATTCATATCTTTTTAAACCAAACAAAAAAATTCAAGCCTTATAAATACTTGAAATGAGTTAAGAAACAGTTTTTTAATTTTTTACCAATCACATCTTTTTGCACATTTTTCTAAGGATTGAACTAGTCAGTACTCTTAAAGAAATGGAAATGTTTGACTCGTTGAACTGTTGCGAAAGTCTCAGAGCTAAATTCTTTGGTTGAATAATTCTTACGTAACTCCGGCGAATTGCAAATTCCAATTCTTACTTTATTTCCCGTCGGACTCAATGCGATTTATATCTACGTGCATGCAATCTACGTAAAGTGACGCTTTGTATCTACTATGGGCGCGTTCCGTTACACGCTCGCAATGCTCGCGAGCATCATTCTATTTTTGTTTAACATCCAATGAGCATCCAAACAACTTGGTATGAATTTCGGCTCAATAGTTTGGAGTCTCCAAACTATTGAGCTGAAATTTGTACCAAGTTGTTTGGTTGCCGGTATTATTTGTATTATTATCGTAATATGTAATACTACTATATGGACAGCGGAGAAATTTTTTTATAAGCGAGTGTAAACCAAGCATTGAAAAATAAAAGATAGATGATTATTAGCTCTATAAAAAAGAGTGGGGAAAGTGTTCTATGATCGCAGTGCAAATGTGCCGCATGCGTTTTACATAGATAGAACACTGATATTGAACAGATAAAGACAGACGAACATTGGCTGCATTATAATGTTGCGGTACCGCTGAGAGCTGTCTATATAGTAGTATTATATATATGATTATTATAAACTATTCCAATAAGATGAGTTGTGAGGCAAATAGTGCTCTTTGAGTCACCTTGATATCTTTAGTGGTTGCCGAGAAATGCGCGAAAAATGCAATCGGTAGTGAAATGGCTGTCAGCGACGTCGAAAAGCACGCTTTCACGGCTTATTTAATGAACCGTTATTGATAGTATTATTATAGTATTAGTATTATTAGTATTATTAGTATTATTAAACTCTAAATTCTAACAGGATAAATTGTGGAGAACATAGTTTTCCTTGAATCACGTCGATATCGTTTGTGGCTGTCGAGAAATAAGCAAAAAATATGAGCGCCATGTTTAAGCTTGTATATTTATTTATTGTTTCATATTGTCCAGTTTCCAAATCCTTTTTTCTTATAAAATTATGCAGAACGCAGCGCGAGAAAGACGAGACTGAGACATCTGTCCCTTTCTAACTTACTATCATTGTACAGGGTGTTGCACTTACATACAGGTCAGTACGATGGGTTGCCTCGTCGGCAGGCGCGTTTTCTTTTCTATGAAGTTTACTGCGCTCAATTGCGCGCGTGACAATTTCGCCAAGGTCTACTATGACACGGTACGCGTGCCTGCCGACGAGGCAACCCGTCGTACTGACCTGTATGTAAGTGCAACACCCTGTACAGAAATACAACGAGCACGAACGAGGCGCATTATATTATTACCATCGCGAAAATGCGTCTAACAAACGTAGTAAAGGCGTACTTTGTTAGATGGCGTCTCGAAAATTCGCCTAGCTTTGGCCACTAAAATCAAACTGGTGGCCGCTCTCAGGCTTCTCTCTGATATAGATGGGCATCTTACAATAAAAATATTTATTTATTGACTCGTAAAAATTCAACGAAAATAAGATAAGAGTCAAATTAATACTTTTTCTCTCTAACAAAAAGCATGTTATCAGAAATCTCGTATATATCGAAGTTATATCGAATCATTGAAACCTCTTACGCGATGCTGATTAGCTGTTTTTTTGCCGCGTCATGGCTTGATTTACATGTGTTGTTTGCAGTAGAGAACCTCTGGTAAAAGAATCGTCAAGCAGCTACTCTGCGATTGGCTGGTATAAACATGTACGGATCTGGACATTGCAACGTCAATGCAAAACTATATATATATATATATATATATATATATATATATATATATATATATATATA